GTGATTCTGTGGGTCACTTGTATTTCCCTCAGGGGACCCCAGCAATGGGTGTTAAAACAAAGATTCAATCAAAGGCTGTCAAAGCAATGTTTCTCTCTCCCTACTCCGCCCAGTCTTCATGATCTGTTTCCCTGCGATGGCCCCACAGAAGTGCCACAGACGTGCTTGCCAGTCCCTTTGACACTGCTCAGGCCACCCTGGGCAACTCAATCCCAAGTAAGGAAAGTGACTTCTCCCACACTGTGCTACCCTTGGTGACAGTCTGTCGAGGGAGCAGTAGCAGGTCTTACATTGCCGTTAACCATAACAGCTTTCATAGACTTGACCCCCTTGCTCACAGGAGCTGCCTCACTGTAGGGCTCAGGTGCTGGTCCCCAGTCTAAGTGACAAGCCCCCACTCTCTCCCCCCAACCTAGGCCTCTGCAGGCGAATCTCCCTTTCTTCCCCCATAGGCTATCCCCACCTTCCCCCCTCCCCAATATCCTTGGCTCTTTCAGGCAAATAGACCTGGGGCAGATCCACCCAGAACACAGGAAATGCCCAGGTGCCAGAAACCTAGGGTGAGCACAGCTCAGGTTTATTTATAAACTCAGCCCTACTCCCCATGGATATTTAGTCATCTCTTCTGGAATGCAGGCTGTGTGTCTGGTTCACTTTCCCCTCCCTCCCTCCTCGCCCGACCCCCAGTCCCCTACCTGGTACTCCACACAGAGTAGACGCTAACTGTGTGGGTGTTACATCAAGGCAATAGCGCAGTATCTGAGGACAGGGGGTACACTGAGGGCCCAGAGATGAACAAACCCCTACAAACTCTTGCTGTTAGTCTTCCCCATCACCTTGGGCCCGTCACAGCCTCCTTCCTGGCCTGAGTTTCCCTATCTGTGAAACAGGAAGATGATCTTGAAGGTCCTGTTTTCACCTGACATTCTGTACAAGAAGAAAGAATGGATTTTTCATCATTGAAAGGAAAGGACTCTCAGAAGTGGGGTCCCAGGAAAATAGGATCTGGGCTCCCTAGAGCTGAGACTAATGTGGAGGAGAATGGACAGGAACAGAGGCCTGGAGAGGTGTCTAGGAGGGACCTCGTGCGTGCAAACAAAGCTTACTGTGTGTCTCACTCCAAGGCTGAGCCGGGGGAGCACCAGCAACGAAGGCAAGGGGATCCCAAGCTCGACGCAGAGGGGAAGCAAGCAAACCGGGGAAGGGGCCGAGGGAGGGAACCAGGCCCTGGCTGCTGATATTTCTAGAAAGCTCACTCACTCTTGGTTCCTCTTTCCTTTACCCCTGACACTGAGTGGGAGTCTGGGGTAAGGATCAAAGTCCACGTGAAGGACTTGATTGCAGTGGCGACAGCTCACTGAAAGGAAGGAAGAAAGGATTATTCACCAAGAGGAATTTTTCCATTCCTTATCTATACGTGGATGAGGAGGGGTCCCCAGTGGGACTAGGGATTCTGGGGAACAGAGAACCTTGACTCTGCTGCCTCCCGACATCCTCCCCAGGACTTTCCCTTGCAGGCCCTCAAGCAGAGGCCCAACCCAAATCTTGTGCTAGGATGTTCCCAGCACAGCCCCACGTGAGACGTCCCTGGCTCCAGGCCCAGCATCTGGAATGCAGGCTCCGGCCAAAGGCATTCTACTCCAAGGAATCTGGGAACTTCCAGAGCTGCCTCAGAGTGGGAATTTCCATTTATTTCTCTCACTCTATGACTGACCCTTCAGCTGGGGAAAGCAGCCCTTCTTGACAGAGCAGAAGTGGGAGGGAGATGGATAACATCTTCCGGAAGACTTTCTCTTCTGATTCATACTTTCACCTGTGATCTGTTCATTGTTTGACACTTGCAGTGACCAAGTCACTTTCCAAAAATGGTGATCCCTTCCTGAAGTAGAGGTAAAGCTTCAAACACTCAGAAGTCTGTCTAAAAACTCAGAAAAACCAGAAAACTTCTCTGCGGGGCCACTGTGACCAAGGGTCAGACGACCTTACTCCGTAAATATTTCCTTACATAAAAAGAGAATGTGCGGCAGGATCTCTACAGGTCCTTTGGTTCTAGGAGACTAGGAGTGGTAACGATGTGGCTGAACCAGGAGAGAGTAAAGATCTCAATGCCTTTAACCTGGTTAACCTAGACAACCCTGAGGAATGACTGGATTCCAGGAAGAAATGGGATGTAACAGAATGCAATCCTCCTGGAAGATCTCTTTTTTTTAACTTTTTTTTATTGATTTATAATCATTTTACAATGTTGTATCAAATTCCAGTGTAGAGCACAATTTTTCAGTTATACATGAACATATACATATTCATTGTCACTTTTTTTCTCTGTGAGCTACTGTAAGATCTTGTGTATATTTCCCTCTGCTGTATAGTATAATCTTGTTTATCTATTG